ATTTTTTCTAATGGTCTGTCATTTTTATTATTTTTAAAAATATTTATTTTTATCTAAATACATGTGTTATCTAGTTAGTAGGCCACATCATCCTTTAAGGAGTGCCAAGTAATTTCCATTCTTAACCCTCAATAGTACACCATGAGTTATGCACATGCTTAAAATTGACAAAAAAAAGCTAACAAAATTGACGCTATTACCAATAGTGCAATCAAAAGTGAAGTTGAAGGACCACAAGAATCATTTTGAAAATTGAGAAATCAAAATGCGAATTAGATCAAAATTTAGTAACCAATGCACTCAAAAACCCTACATTTTTCAACAACCGATCCAATTCCAAACCGATGCGTATTTGTCTGCTCGCTTGCTCCCTGTCTTACATTTTACCAAAATTAGATTACATGTTATGTTACTGCTAATATATTTTTGTGCCAATCCGGTAAATACATAATTTTCTATCCATGATTCAAACATTTTCCAGATTATTATTATTATTTTTAAAGGTCAAACTATTATCATATTATATTCTAAAAATGAAAAATATGCGGTGGGAAAGAGCCAACGCGCACCGTTTTTATGGTCGTGAGTGAGTCAAGAAGTGTTTGTCGTCTAGAAGATGCAACGTCATTAGGGCCCCACTCATTTGGCCTCTTTCTTTATATAAAACCCGTCCACGACACTAAGCTGACTCAGCATCTACGTGGAGATCAAATCCTCAGTGACGCAATATATAAAAGATAATTATCCTGGATATCTTGTTCTCTCAACCAAAAAAAAAGAAATACAAATTAAGAGAGAAAAAAGACAAAGAAAAAAAAGAAGCCGATTTAGTTGACAGCTAATTAATTGGTGGTTACGCGCCTATTTGCATGGCAAGGCCAAGCCAAGGTTAGGAGGTGGTTGCTGTATTGTCCATCTCTCACTCACTCACTCATTGAGACAAAAGGGGAGAGAGAGATATATATATTAGAATTTGAATTAACAAATTTTCAGCGAAGGACTTGGTGACTCGGATTTTCAGTGCAAGGACTCACACAATCGGAATTCTCAGGGAAGGACTCTCCGGCCAATTATAAATACTTTCCATTCCCCCAAAACCCTTCATCATGCCTTCCTCCTCATCACCAACAGTATTTCTTCTTCTTCTTTACCCTTTTGTTAGATTATCGCTTTTCGATTCAGCAGGATGACCATCCTCGTTGAGCAGCCTGACTTTGGTAAAGTTTTACTTTTTATTTTTTGGGTTTTTGCTGCATTACATTTTTTTGTTTTTCTTGTTCGACATTGAATTCATTTTAATTAGCAGCGGTTGAGGTGGAAGAAAAGGTGGTCTCTGATCAGACGGGTGAGGAGAATGAATTGGTGTTGGATGGTGGATTTGTGGTGCCTCCAACAAACGCATTTGGCCACACTTTCAGGTCCCTTCTGTTCTTGCCATATTCTAGGCTGCATTCAATTATGATCATGAAACATTTTAATATACATTTCGCCTTTCCTTTCTGTTTCCAAAGAAGCTCAAGAAATGTCATATTCCCTTTTCCTTTATATATCATCTTATTACCACTTATGTGAAGTTTATTCATCAAAATGCAGGGATTATGATGTTAACAGTGACCGGAGCGATGGGGTTGAGGAATTCTATCGAATCAACCACATTAACCAAAGTGTTGACTTTGTAAGCAAACAGCTGCGGATTAGAGTTTCTTCAATTTGGAAAAGGTTATATTAATAATGATTAATTGCAGGTGAAGCGGATGAGGGAAGAATATGGCAAACTGAATAAGGTTGAAATGAGCATATGGGAATGCTGTGAACTTCTCAATGAAGTAGTGGATGAGAGTGATCCTGACTTGGATGAGCCTCAGATTGAGCACCTCTTGCAGACTGCTGAAGCCATCAGAAAGGACTATCCTAATGAAGGCTGGCTGCATTTAACTGCCCTTATCCATGGTATAATATATATATATATATACTAGTTTCTCATCATTTTGAGTGCTCTTTATTCTTAGTTAATTTAATTATATGCTTCTCTAATTTGAGTCATATCAACCATGTTTATGTATTTGCTTCATTTTGATTTTTGCATATGTCACCGTGAGGATCAATTGCTTAAACTTTGTTTCCCATGAAATTTAGATCTTGGAAAGGTTCTTCATCTTCCTGCTTTTGGAGAGCTTCCTCAATGGGCTGTTGTGGGTGAGGATCATCTTCTTGTTTAATCTTTGGTTCAGATAATCTCTTCTCTCACCTCTGTTTCTATAATTATTCTGAAACTAACTGAAATCATCTATTAATTACAGGTGACACATGCCCTGTCGGGTGTGCCTTTGATGAGTCAATTGTTCATCACAAGGTCTCTCGCAAATTTTGTACCAGGATCCACCTTTGGAATATGAAATGATTCAGTCCCCTAACTTCATTAATTTCTGACTCATTTTTCTGTGGATAGTCTCTAACATCGTGTCTGCCTGTCCTTGCAGCATTTCAAGGAAAATGCTGACTACAACAATCCTGCTTATAACACTAAGTATGGTATTTACTCCGAATGTTGTGGACTCGACAATGTACTGATGTCATGGGGGCATGATGACTACATGTACTTGGTACATATTTGCCAAACCCATTCCAACTTCTGCATTGTTCATACTCTACCATCCATGTACTTAGAACTAGGAAGGAAATAGCACGGGAAATTGATAATTTACTATCTGAATTTACATATATATATATATATATATATTATATTTTCACAAGTCTTGCAATGGTAAACTTACTTATGTATCCTGTCTCCAGGTGGCCAAGGAAAACAAAAGCACTCTCCCTTCAGCTGGTCTTTTCATTATCAGATACCACTCATTTTATGGTACATTGTGAAATCAGCTAGCCCTTCAATTTGCTTTCAAATTAGTATTTAATCTATATCGATCAAAATTACTTTGCAGCTTTACACAGGGCAGGAGCATATACGCACTTGATGAATGCAGAGGACATTGAGAATTTGAAGTGGCTCAAAATATTCAAGTAAGGATATTCACTCCCCCATTTAAAAACACAGTAATGTAGTAAGACTATATGTCCTTCCTACCATATTTTCGACACACTGCTTTGCCAAAATTTGATACAAGTCTAAAAATTAACTTTGCCATTCTATATGCAGCAAGTATGACCTTTACAGCAAGAGCAAAGTTCGCATTGATGTTGAGAAAGTGAAGCCCTACTATCTCTCTCTAATTGAGAAGGTAAAGATGAGTTGTTCTTGTTATTGGAGCTGGATGGAAGGAAATTTTGCAAGTGCATGCACAAGATTCCGAAGTTCTCATTTCATTTAATTTCAAAATAGAGCTTAAATGCCACATTGTTTTTTCTCTCTCTGTTCCTTGTAGTTAATTTTGACTATTCTGTTGCAGTACTTTCCCGCAAAGCTGAGATGGTGAACGGTGAAGTTGGGAGCTCTGAAGTTGGATGAGTAAAGAAATCAGATGGAGGTAGCAGCTGAATAAAAGGCACGGATGTAGAACTTTCAATGTCTTTTTTTCTCTTTGTTCTTGTTTCCTTTTCTTTTACCCCTTTATGTTTGTTTTGTTATGAACTTATGAGGAGGTGCTGTACCTTTTCTCTGAGTTTGTATATAAAAATGCTACCTCTGCAGTTGCAGTTATTCCATTGCCGTTGTTCTATGCTTTTAAGCTTCAACTCAGTTTACGCAGAAATACTATAGTTTGCTTTTATATTAAAGATGTTATGATGCAGATGAAAATTAATAGCAGTATTAGTTGGTACAGGACAGGTGCCAACAACCAGAGTTTAATTGACCAGTGTTTAATCATTAACCAAGCAATTAAATCAGCAAATTAATGATCCAATTAACCAATAAACTGCCTTAGTCTAAACTCGAAAGTGCACTTTCATCACTTGTCTATTTGTCTTTATGCTAATCAACGAATGAATGATTATCTCTACTGCGCGGAGTCAAAAATGCAACATCCGAACACAAAAGTGAAAGGATGCATTTTGCTTTTACAGGTTATGGCAAAGCCTCCTTAGGTATTTACTATTATTTTACAAAGGGTGTTGTTAAACGAACCCTAAAATTAACAGCACCCCTTTATGAATGAGTAGTAAAATATTATCACGGTCAAACAAAGAGAACCAGATATCTATTTGTGCGTCAGAAATTGTCTTTGAGAAAAACCTTAGTTCTAGTTAATTTTCTTCAATTTAAATGAAATAAAAAATTATAAAAATTCAGTTAGCCGGACCGATCAGTATGTAGTTGTAGTAGTAAACTTTGACTAGTTGTATTATTGGTATATATAAAGTCCATTTTCTTTAATACAATATATCAAATCGTCAATGAATGTCGTTGTAGGTTGGGTGGATGGTGGGTGGATTTAGAGTTAGACGAGCCTTCTAAGTTAGGTGTGTAACCTTGAATTTTATATACCCCTAACCCATCTTTGTCCAACTTAACTTTTCTATGTCTAAATAGAAAATGACCAATTTAATATAGTATATCATAGACACAGAGAGCACTATTTGTCTTTTGCATTCTTCTCAGAGAAAGAGATTGATATTCCAGCTAAGCGTTTTGTTGTGTGTTTTGTTTGGGGGCTTCCTTCCTTCTTACTCTCTGCTGCCGTTGTTGACCATGACCCTTGAATATGTTCCTATACTTAAACAGACAGGCCGTTGATACGATTCTATAGGTTTCCTGAGAAAAAGGTTTGATTGTTTGATTCAGCATTGGCCTTTTTCACTTCTTGTCATGGTGAGCTCTGTTTCAGACATATTGGCAAACAGAAGTTGGGCAATTTGTAGTCAAAACTTGTAATTTTTTGGACTGGAAGTGTTCTTTTGATTTCCTACGAATTGGATTTCTCTGTTTTTGGTATTTCATTACTTGGGTGTTTGTTTGATTTTCATACCTCTCCCCGTTTATGAGATTTTGGGTTTAGAGAGTTTGTTTGGAGCTCGTATACCATCTGTTAATATAGTTGAATCTGAATTGTTGGAATTTTGAATTGATCCTTGCACCCTGGTGATTTTGGGTTGCTGGGTTATTAAAAGTCTACCCATTTTTGCCTTGTAAGCTTGAGGGATGAAAGGAAAGTTTGGAACACCAGGAAGTTACTTTGTGTTAAACACAGGAGATAGAATTCCAGCCATTGGACTTGGGACATGGCAGAGTGGAGGAGACCTTTGTGTTCAAGCCGTAAAAACGGCATTATCAGTAGGCTACCGTCACATAGATTGTGCACATCTTTATGGTAACGAGATCGAAGTTGGGGAAGCTTTAGCTGAAGCATTTAAGGGTTCACTGAAGAGGGAAGACGTTTTCTTGACTTCTAAGCTCTATTGTACAATGAATTCTCTCAATAAAATTGAGAATTATGTTAGAGTTTCTCTTAAGAACCTTGGAGTTTCGTATTTGGATCTGTATTTGATGCATTGGCCTGACAGCTCAGCGTTTGGTGATGCCACTGATCCTCCTTCAAAGTCTGGGAGCGAGTATAGGCAATTCTTGAATCGGTTGAAGAAAGCATGGAAAGCTATGGAAGGTCTGGTTGAGTTGGGTTTGGTTAGAGCTATTGGAGTCAGCAATTTCAGTGTTCCGCAAATCAAACAATTGCTCAAGTTTGCAAAAATTGTACCTGCAGTCAATCAGGTTGGCTTTCGGTAAATCATTCTGGCTATTTTTCAATAATTCAGCATCCAAATTTGTCTTCAATTAGTTGATAAATTGGCTTTCACGTCCCTTCTTTAATCATATTATCCATTATATTGTTTTAATGGTGCAATGGATTTTCATATCTTTTCTTTTTTCTTTTCCTTTTTTTGTTTAATTACAATGTTGATCGAAGGGCTAAATATGTTAGAGTAAATAAGTGACTTAATCTAGTAACAGTTGATGAGAAAATTCATTGGATAGAAGGTTTTTTGTCAACAATTTTCTCTGTAGTCTACTCACATGAGCAAAGCATCTCATTTATTTGGCTGACCTAATAATTTGCAAGTATCGGACGCTGGGATTCAATGCAATATGAAGGCACCTGCATTAATATAACAATTGCATAAACATTACCTCTACTGAAGCAGCCCATTTAAGTCATACTCAGGTAGTTGTTGCTATATGTATGCAAGTGTGAAATGCAAAAAATCATCATTTGGATCAGATGAATCTTACAATCATTTCAGTTGGTAAGCTGATTAAGAAGTGGCCTACCAGCACAGATTTGGCTTTAAAAACAGCCCACCATTGCACAGTTCCTACATGATTCTGAGCTTAAGACTTAATTTTGCTCGTTAGATATTTGAACTTTGTTTGATATGTTCATATATCTTTGCACCGATGCTATTGTTCTCCAAAACTAGTTGAATCTAATTTGATCAAAAGAGACTGAGTTGTAGGACTATTACCTCTCGTCTCTTCCTTTCTAACTCAATGTTGACATTAGAAACCAATTATGAAGCAAAGTTAGTGCAGATTGTCTATGCTTTATCGTAATACCCACCTCTTTTCTTGTATTGTTTGCTAGATTGTAACTATCATCAATCTAGGTTGTTAGGACCCAGTGTTGAATCTGCTTAAATTCTTGGGAAAATAAGAATGTTTTGTGGCTTCTGCTGCCCTTTTTTTTTCTTTAAGACTGAAATTTCTCCTTGTTGATCACAATATGACATAATTTGGGTTCCTTAATTGATTTATGATTAAATTTTAGGTGGAGTTGCACCCCTTTTGGAGGCAAGATGAACTTGTAAAGTTCTGTCAATTGAAAGGTATCCATGTATCTGCTCACACACCCTTAGGAGTCCCAACCTCGACTCCTGGACCATCTGATAGCAGTTCAGGTGGGGAAGATGAACCTGGAACTCCTCGCATATCATTCAGGAGGTCAAAGTCTGTGCATGGGCCTATGCTAAAATTATCAACAGTTGCAGAGATAGCAGACAGACACAGAAAAACACCTGAGCAGGTACTTTAGATTCCACAAGCTTCTTTTCTTTTTCATACTACTCATATCCTCCAAGCTATATACTATTGAGTAGCATAATCTCATCCAAGCTATGA